ACAACTGCTGTAATCTCTCTTCTTGTTTAATTTCTCGTTCTTCTTGTTTCTTTTCTTGTTTAATTTCTCGTTCTTCTTGTTTTTTTTTTGCTATTCTTGTATTGCTGCCATCAAGTCTGCTATGCTGTAGTTTGATTTGCCGCTTCTCGTTTCCATTTTTTTTGTTCCACTCTCTGACACCAATTTGTTACGTCTCTGTTTGTTAATTGATTTCCCGTAACTTCGTTCGGACGAAACTTTAGCGACACAAGTCCTTACTTAATAAAACTGGTTTATTCTTTCTGAATATAACTTTACCGATACACTTATTTTCAACAGTCGCTCTATAACAAACGCTATAACAACGAACTTCAACAATACGTCTCTCTCTGACTGCAATTCAATTACTCACTACCTACACACACATTGATCCCGTCACGTTGTGACCGTCTTATATATACCAGACTGCCCTATATCTAGTAATCTCCCGACAATTCGCGAAGGTACAAGATATTTCCAGAAAGCAGGGGGCGTGACACTAGTCACGTGACCTCGCTGACGCAACATTATAAAATCAAAATTGCGATTTTTAATATAGCCTATTTAACTTGTGTGTGCATCTCGATCGGTTACCACTGTACTGTTCAGACAGCCACTCGCTAACAAATTATGTCTTGCCCATTTATCCTACATATAGGCCTATTATAGTGCATTCGTAGATATAAAACAATCTAAAATATTTATTATCTATACTTTCAGGTAAATTTCATGACGCTACAAAGATTTGTCAAGAAAAAGCAAAAACGGAATGCAGAACCAAATGGGAAAAAAAACTGATCTAAAAGGTGGATACTTAACACCCCGGCAAGTGTTCACAGAAACTCAAGAAAAGTTATTGGCAGATTACATAATCAAGGCATCAAAAATTTTTTATGGACTTTCTCCAAAAGATATCAGACAATTAGCCTACCAATTTGCAAACGAAAATAAAATAACAGCTCCCTTGAATTGGGCAGCAACAGGAATGGCTGGCCCGGACTGGATTATCAAATTTATGAAACGTAATGGATCATTATCAATAAGAACGCCAGAAGCAACGAGTCTCAGCAGGGCGACAAGTTTTAACAAAAGAAATGTAGATATGTTTTTTGCCAATTTGTCACGTTTGCAGGAGAAGTTTAATTTCAGTC